GTTGCGGGAAATGAGGGAGACACAGTCGAGGGTGTTCTGGACTGAGGGGGGCGGATGTTGCAGTCCTTGAAAAAAAAACACCACCAGAACTGCCTTGTTATTAGAACCTGGTCCAAGTCACCCTTAGTGATGAAAATGTGTCGTAGGTGATTGACCTTTGAGACGGCTGATATCATTCCATTAAGATTAATCAATAAAATCATGCCTTATAACTGTTGCCTAAATCTCATGGCAGGCAAACATAAAAAATTTGATTTGAAGTGATACTACATGCTTGGCTGCACTTGGGTTTTCTTTAGGTGCTCCGGTTTCCTCCCACAGTCCAAAGATGCGCTGGTTAGGTGGATTGGCTATGCTAAATTGCCCCAGGATGTGCAAGCTAGGTGGATTATCCATGGTAAATGCAGGGTCACAGGGATTTGGTGGGGTACAGGGGGCAGGGGTAGTGGTGGTCTGGGTGGAATGCTCATCAGAGGGTCGGTGTAGACTCGATTGGCCAAATGGCCTGCTTCCACATTGTATGGATTCTATGATTGTGTTCCTTTCCATATCCTTACAATTTTGGAACAGGAATAGAATATTATAAAAATACATATACAATATATACATGTGTATATAAATGCTATCCTACCTGAAGGAAAACTTAAAGAAAAAAAAATCAACACAAGTAATGTTATTACACAACTTGTCACTTAATAAAGGAGTTGGAGAGAATGAAAAAAAGGGAGTCAAAAACCAAACATCTCCCTCAAAAAAGTGAAAACTAACCCACAAGATAACCTCAACAAGATCCGAAGTTTTGACACCTGTGGAAATGAGTCATTGGCTGGCATTTCTGCATTGTGAACATTACCTACAACTTACCAGCGCAAGCCTCGTGTTGTCTAACCCTTGCTGCATGTATGTACAGACTGATTTAATAGCCAAATAGGCACAAATAGTCCTACAATAGCCAAACAGGCACAAATGAGCAATCAGCAATCCCGACTTCTGAACTTATTTTGGTGGAAAGTCAATGATGAACCAACATAAATTGTTTAGGCCTAGGACACAACTCCAGGGAGCTCCTGCAACAATGTCCTTTACGTTGTTCTTGAGGATAAAGGGGTAGAATTTTTCTGTTATTTGTAATAAAACAGTTTTAAATGGTTTAACGTGCATAGTTTGAATTTTTATTTTCATCTGTGGAAAAGAATTTGATAGTCTCTTGTAGCATTAAAATATTGGTAATCTCTGAATTTGTTCTATGCCTGCCCACCACAATGAACAAATTGCAAGCAATAAAACATATGATCAATCAAGGCAGGTTTCACTCTGGAATCTGACTTGTCCAATATTACCATCAGCTGGGATCATAACATTATCAATGACCTCATCTATCACTTCATTGGTGTTCAAGAGTAGACCAATGGGACAATAATTGGTTAAATTGGATTTGTTCACTAGATTTATGATTTAATTTTATTTGTATTTCTATATTGTTTGTTACGAAGAAGACACAATTTTAGCTTCATTGAGTGGTGCCAGGTTGTGTGGTAAGTTAAAGCCTTATTTTAATGCATATAAGTTTTTTAAATAAAAAAATCTTTCGAGGTTAATAGTTCATGAAACAAATGGTAAAAAGGGAAGAAAAAGAGAGGTGTCTTTGATCCAGGGAAATAGAGACAACACTTAAGTTTTCTTTTAGCAAGAACATCTCGAAGGTTAGTGTGGTGGCAGATTTCTTCTAGACAGAACAGTTCTGTGGTGGTGCAGTTTAACAGCTTCCAAAATGGTAAAAGCAGAATTTTTTTTTTTTTTTTTTTTTTTTTTTTTTTTTTTTTTTTTTTTTAAAAAGTGTATGAGTGGCTTAAAAGTTAGGAAAAGCTTCAGAAATGGAAGGGTGTGAGGTGTCAGATAGAAAGACCTCCTATGAGGCTGTTGAATTTGTGAGGTTGAAGAATAAATGAGCTTTGTTGGCAATTTCTTTAAATATCTCATGAGGAGATATTAACTAAGGAAGATAACATCAAGTGATTGCAGATATTTGCCATAAAACAAACAAATATAGCTGTGCCAACTGAATAAAGAAATTTAAAATAGAAACACAGTTAACTTTGAGGCATCTGTGATGGTGGGAACCTCCAGTTGCTGAGGTTGATCATCTACTTGGTGTTTCTGATTGAAAATAGCTCTAAATGCTTCAGCCTTGTCTTGTACACTGATGCAATTGGTCCACTATTCATTGAGAATAGAAATGGGCATACAGCCTCTTCATCAAACTAATTATTTGTTATTCATCACTATTCATGGTAAAATGTGGAAGGACTGCACAGCTTTGATCTGATCTTTGGGATTACCTAGCTCTGTCTATCGTACAATGCCTCCACAGTTCAGCATGCAAATAGGTTCAGCTGCCACAAAATTGGCTCAATTTTCAGGCATACCTGTGAGTGCACATAGTTTGCTACCGTATTTCTCATTGTTCTGTTAATTTGGCTCTGTTCAATTCATCTAAATTCCTCACTTAGAGTCAAGGTCAATGTGGCATTTAGGTCAAGCAGAGTTAAAGAACAGGGGGAAAAGATAACTTGAGTGTAGTGGAAGTCTAGGATGAGAAAGTGGGATGGCCAGGAGGATAGTGGGAAACCAAGAGAAGGTTGAAAGGTTGCAAATGGAGAGAAATTAAGGAAGGGGTGGAGTAGGGAATAGAGAAGTTAGAAATGAAGGATAGCAGAATAGGCAGGGCAACAGAGAGAGAGAGAGAGATTGAGAGGAAGAGGAAGAGGAAGGAGTAGTGGAGACAACAGTCCTACTATTTTACAAAATACAATTTCTAATTGGGATCATAATGGGCAGCATGGTTCAGTGGTTAGCACTGTTGCCTCACAGCACCAGGGACCCGGGTTCGATTTCACCCTCGGGCAACTGTCTGTGTGGCGTTTGCACATTGTCCCCGTGTCTGCATGGGTTTCCTCCCACGGTCCAAAGATGTGCAGGCTAGGTGGACTGGGCATGCTAAATTACCCATAGCTTTATGTAATTAGGTGCGTTATAGGGGGACGGTCAGGGTGGACTTGTTGGGCGAAAGGGCCT